TCAATGACTTTCGGCAGTATACCCTTTCCAACCGCCACGTCGTCGCTTACCTCCTCACAGCATTAGGAGTGAGACCTATTTGTCGTGTGACAGCTCCTGCGCCATACACAACTGCCGTGCGCATTCTCTTTGCGCTTGTGCGTAGGTAGTCGTGTGCGATATGAGTACACAGCCGCTGCTCGAAGTAGACGATGCATCGCAGATGGGGCCCATACGTGCTCTGTACGGGGATGTACATGGGTTGATTATTAGTGTGTTGTGGAGGGTGGTTGAGATGTATACATCTGCGTATGTCACATATGTGCACAGATACCATGGACACGAATGTACTCACCTCATATACACACATACAACACATGTTAACAAATACTATACGAATGTATGTACCACATATATATAGGCATACAACATATATTGAACAACTACCATACGAATATATACACTATATATATATATATATATACATACAGTACATACCTGCACACAATACAGTGCTACAGATGATCGCAGACCTTACATAGGAAAACACGAGCAAAAGCGATTTGCAAACTTCTATGCTACGCACAACGTTTACAATCCCACAGATTCACTTACATATGCACACAACAACATATAAACACTATACTACACTCATCAACACTCACTCACATGCACACACCACTTACAATCCCACAGTACACATGCACATACATATACACGCAACAACATATGCACACTATACTACACTCACCAACACACACTCACATGCACACACCACCTACAATCCCACAGTACACATGCATGTACATATGCTCATAACAACATATATACGCTAGACAACACTCACCAACACACACTCACATGCACACACTTTCTGCTCGCCCAACACAGTTTGCAACTGCTGCAACCGCACGAATCGATGGCCCTACACCCTCCACATCTGCACCAGCGGGTCCAATATTGCCTGCACCTGGTCAGAGCCACAGTAGGGCGTGGTTTGTCCTGGATTCTGCCGCGGGTCAGGCAGTATATGTTCCATTACTAGGTATCTAAGGGCAAACTCTAAGCCACCCAGCTTGGCAGCCACAACCACCAACCGCACTGCGATGTAGAAGTGCTCCAATAGCTCATAGCACACCTGCATCATTTAGAAGGGTAAGGGAGAGAGACTAACTATACAATTTAAAA